GAAATTTGCACAATTTTTACAATAATTCTTGCTTCCCAGAGATAAAAGTATGTTCTGAACTTCAGCTTGGGCTCAGCAACCCTTCAATTTTCAGTTGTGAGCCAGGCCCCTGATGGCAATGCAGCTGCTCAGGTCTCCAACCACCACTTCAATCACCACCAACAATGAACATAAACTTTGGAATTCCCTGGAGCTATACAATTAATTTAAATTTTTGTGCAGTTTGGAAAAGAGGGGATTAATACAAAACAATGTTAGAAGAAAAAGCTCTCAACTCTAAAGAACCGTTTTTCTTAGAGAACATAATGAAAAATTTCCACATGTAATATGAATTAGTTTGACAGACTGTGACATTTCTGCTGGAAATAGTTCTGGAGGGACACTGGATGGGCTGTACTTTGGTCCTCCTTTGAAGCCAATAGCTTCATATCCATGGACTTCAATCAGAGCAATACTATGGCAAGAACCTTTTATAACTGCTTTTATTCTGGTGTTAGTTTATAGAAAATAAGTTTCTGCAATTGCACTAGCAATTCATTTGTTTGTCTTTCCAATAACTTTTAAATGTATTTTCCAGTTCTAATTCAATTAAACAGAGAATGCTTGTCTCAAAGATAGTAAATGTCTACAAGTTTCATGAACATAAGAATCTGGGTAGGAGACCCTGAGTCCTGCTAAGGTAAAGGCAGAGATACAGTGACCTTTAACCATTCTGTGTGGGCTGCCCAACAACCAAGAGGCAACAGCTTGCATATGGTAGCAAACTAACCATGAAACCATGGGTTAATCACAGTATGTTCCATCTTGTAAAACCTGAGGTTTACAGCTAGAGATAAGGTGATGTAGGGAATGTAAAGTGACTAAAAGCTCATATTTTACCAGACATCAAACTTGGCCCTTAGTGCTTTCAATGGCAATATATTTATCCTGTACTTGATGGAGAACAAACACAAGTCTTCCCCATCAAGACTTGCATCTCCTTTACTGCCTTTCAAAGAGTATATTTACTCCTTTCATGGAGTATACTTACCCCACTGACACTATTAAAATGCTTCACTCCTTGATGACTCTTTTGTCACGATCTCTACAAGTACAGCTGCTGAGTAAAGTAGTTCAATATGAACCAAAGCAATTCATAAAGGATGAGCCCTCAAGAGCCATTAAGAACAATAATCAAATACAACTTCTTGTTCAAGACATTATTAATTTTATTATTGGCAGAAGGGTGAATATATCAGATGACTCTGCTCATGCCTGGTTCTTACATACTTCCCTGAGTGTCCTGTACTGGCTAATGATTGATCTTTCTCATTAGTCTGGAAATGATGCAATACCAGGAACGGGCACAGGGCCAACCCCATTTCCACTCTCCAGAATCCCACTGAATAGTCACTACATGGAGAACATATGAGAGATTAAACTGAAAAGAACAGACACTATAGTGGGCTGTTATTTTGGAAATAGGCTACTGGGATGGATGGACCTTTGCTCTGAGCAGCATGGCCTTTCTTATGTTCTCTGGTCTTATAAGCTGTTGAAACTTGATTTAAGGCCGTATTTCATGCAGAAGCCTCTGTTTGACACAATCCAGCTCTCCAGGACCTGCAGCTATCGTAGAATTATGACTCTGTAAGTTAAAACTGGTGCTGTATAAGCACAGAAGAACTGAAAGCATAAGTATGCTGCTTAGAGGGTAAACCCCTCATCAAAAAAGGAAGTTAAACCTAAGAAGTTCTCTGTCTTTGAAGTGTACTTTAGCTCTAAACTTGAGACCTCTATAGAACTACCTTCTACATGGTATCACATATATATTTTTCTATGTTAGTTTCTATTTTGAGTGCAGAGTCGTAAAATTCCTGTTGGACATGATCCCGAATGTGATGCTGTACTGTTCTGTAGCATCTGGAAGCTATGGAGTTGCAATAAGTATCTGTATGTGACAATGTCATAACCATGTGGGTGCATAAGACAGCTCATCTATGCGTGATAAAAGAGGGGATCGGCTGAGATAATGCAAACTAGTTCATCAAAAGCATGGGTACCATTCTTGAAGTCATCTGGCCTTGTATATTTGCATGTCTGTCATGGAAACACTGTATGGTCAAAAGAGCAATATGATATATAGAGTAATACTGTCACATTATTATTTCTTACACTGTTTTTTTTTTTTTTCTGAGACAGAATAACAAAGATAGTCAAGTATCTCCAGTAATTGAATCAACTCCCCCGGATTTTCCTATGTTAAGAGACACATAATGGCAAATTATGGGGGATGAGATGTATTTTGTGGAGCTTAATCCTAAATGATTCATGTAAAAAGAACATTAAATGTAGTCGGTCAGTAGTTCTATGAACAGAGCACTTGCAAGACTCTCTTATTTCTAACAGAAATATTTATGTTAATTACAGTGAAATTATAAATACGTATGACAAGGAGACTGCCCACAATTGTATTCCCAAGTGAAAATTAATCTGATGTGCTCTGCAGTTCTTGTTGGAGAAAATAATAATAGTAATATATGAGGAGGGAAATACTTCAGTATTCACCAGTCTTCATACAAGAGTCCACCTACAATGAGGCTGCAACAGCATTCAAAATAGAACTTCAACACTGAAATTTTTTTCTTCCTAAAACCTTAAAAAACCCCTGTATTATCCCTTTACTGATTTAAGAAATGAAACTTTTTTCAGTATAATTCAAAGTGTAGTTCTATATGTGCCTGCTATAAAGAATTCCTACTGTTCTTCAAAGCTGTGATTTTCCTCTGTAAATTTGGTCTTCTCTGTCATCTTAGTTTCCCAAAATGCATCATCTGATGGTCCATTAGCTGTGTGAAGGACAGAACCTGTTCCCTTCAGTGCCAAGCAGGGAATTAGTGTTCAGTAGGAATCTCATGCGTGAGAGGCCCATCTGGGACTGGCTGATGAATGGCTGTAGTCAGACTTCAGTTAAATTCATCCAAGCAATTTTAGAATGGTAAACATTATCTATGGGTTATATGGCTTTTGATTACGTTAAGGCAATTATTTCTTGGCTCCTGTGAAACTTTGGAGATGAGGAAATGTTCACACAGGCCTGTATAAAACAAATTGCTGATTCCAGCTTCCGGTGGCGGGCAGAATACCAGAAATTGCCCTGCCAGAAGGGAACTACCTAAAGTTACCTTCCCCTGGGTCTGGGTTCTTTGGTCGCTGACAAGGATTGGCCTTAACTAGTCCCTTCTTCAGTAGGTTCACTAACAGTCTCCTTTTTTTCTGCTTTAGTCCTTGTTTCCATGAAATGCATGAATGGGATCTCATTTTCCTTGGATGAAATTAGCAAATAAGTTTGTGATTCAATAAGAAAACTCATCCATCCCCAAGAACACAGTGTTGTTGTCTGCAAGTGATTTCCCTAGGAAAGCAGGCTAAGAGTGGTGGTGCTCAGGCTTTATCCTCTCTGAAAATTAACTCTATTCTGACTAGCCAATGTCCTTCAATGTGAGACCTGTCTGTGAAAGATGCTTTGCCCCGATGGCTTTCAGCAATAATGCTTATTCTAGGGATATTTCAAAAGTGCTCGACACAATCGATCATAAAAATGTGTAGTGGAGGGCATGTAGTTTACACAGCAGACTTAAACCTTTGTATTATTTCCTCACTGAAAATAAGTCCCTTTTATAATCTGTTACATGATGCTTTGTCGTAATCTGTGTCTTCTGAGTTTACAAATGAGTTTTCCTAAAATGAAGCAGTTCAAAGTGGTGCAGCTGCGCAGCACGGGGACCGTTCTTGCCAGCAGTGTGTCCCTCCAGCAGCCGGGCTGTGCTGTGCCCACAGCTCGGCGGGACTGGCTCTGTCCAACACCACCTCGGTCACCTCCCAGGAGCAGTTGGCATGGCCACGCTCAGGACTCCTGAACTAAAGGTCGAGATACACTGAAGAAAGGAACTTTCTTTCTCCGGGGGATATCAGTCTGCTTGTGGTTTAATGAACGCTTTAATTAAACATTTGAACATGTTTCTATTAAGGTTTATATAATACTGATTTTTTTAAGCCACGTTTAAAGACAGTGTAATTTTAGATTAATTTTATTAAGCTAGTGTAAATCTCCTGTGACTACTTATTTCTACCTAGCAAGGTACTGTAGAAGCAGGAAAACATATTGCTTTTAGCATGCACTTGTTAATTGTTTTTAGCTAATTTAAGAAATACTTGCTTAAACGAACACCCAATTTAAAGTCACTTTTTTATTTAGAATGTTTGCTTCCATTGATGATGTTCAGGTTCATTCCTTGAGCTGGGGGAAGATGAGAAATGTTCCTTCCAGGCGCACATGGCCAGGAGCCGCAGATGTTCAGTTATGTGTGCGATAACCGCGCTCGTACGGAGCCCTTGTGCTGGTGTGTAAGTCCCGGGGGGAGCCGCAGGGCTTGGAGCGGCAGCAGGGAATACGGGAAATAAGACTTTTCCCCCCCGAGACGAGGCGTTGGGAGCGCTGCCGCCCTGCCAGCCCCGCAGCGGCAGCCGAGCCGCCGGGACGGGACGGGACGGGACAGGACGGTTCCCGCACGGGCCCGCGGCCGCCGCTCGGTGCCTCAGCCGCGCCCGGCCTGCCCCCGGGCTGGGCGGGACAGGACGGGGCCGGGCTCCCCCGCATTTCGTAACCGGCCCCGGGGAGGGCTCAGCCCGCCCGCCCCGCCCCGGGACCTGCGGCGAGGAGCGGCCCCCGACCCTCCCCCGCCGCTGCCGCTCCCCTCCCCCGGCCGGCGGAAGGAGAAATAGTCCTCCCCGCATTGTTCGGTCCCGCACAACTTCGGGCCGTGCCGGGGAGCGGGTGGCGGGGCCGGGCGGGCACGGCCAGCGCCGCTTCCCCCGCGGGGCCGCCCCGGGGCAGCGGGACCCGGCGCGTCCGGACGGGCTGGGCGCGGGCTGAGCCCGGGGATCCCCAGGGGCCGGGCGGGGTTCACGCAGCCGGAGGGGCCCCGGCGGGGCCGCTCCTGCAGCTCCCGGCGGGCCCGGGGTCTCTGGCCGCGGTCACGGCCCCGCTGTGCCCGGCCCGGTCCTGCTGCGGGGCCGTCTCCCTTGGGCCCTCCCGCCGCGATTTCTCCCTTCAATCGCCGCCTTTTTCCCCTCCTCCGCTTCCCCCAGTCAACTTTTGTAGGAATTCCTCCTGTGAAGAGGTCGAGCTAAAGCTTCTACCCACTCCCTGCGCAGCCACAAGCACTTGGTGAGCACTTTGTCAGCAGCAGGAACAAGTGAAGTGTACAAGTAGCAGGAACAAGAACCGTGCCCCACAGAAACAGGTTTTGACTTTGCAGTAGTCACCCTGCATATGCTCTCTGATCGCCTCCTAAGTACTACTCTTTGGTGACGAGTTTTCACCATTGTAGCCTTCTGCAAATGTTCTGAATCTTCCCTATTGTAGAACAAGTTACATAATATAAATGTTATATAATTTTAATTACCGCGAGGTAAATATAGCAGGCAGCAAATTCAGTTATCTGTAAGATGGGCTGGACTGATAAGAGTGTGCTCTGCGCAATCTAGAGGCTTGGGCACAGGAGCACAGCTGTATGTAGGATACTTTTCCGAAGTCTGCTTTGGATGGAAGGCGGTGTAGGAAGAACACAATGCCTCCCCAAGAGCTTCATCCAAAAGTTTCATGTATTACAACAAAAATATTTTTTTACTGGCTTGAGTCAGATTCCAGGTGAATACAGTGAGAAAATGGAATTGCTTTGTCCACGCCAGTTGCAGGAAACAAGGTCGTTTTCTCCTTATTGCTGACTCCAAATGAGCATTGCTGTCTGTACTGGGAAGTCTACTGGAAGTAGTAGAAGGGATTCAGTGGTTTAGGTGAGGGTGGAAATTTGTTGTAAGAAACCAAACAAGAACAACAACAAACTGGAGCAGGAAAGAAGCTTTGCTGACTTTTCTCCAGGGCTATGGATTTGCTGAGCAATAGCATTTATCATGGACAAATTGCTGGCTGTGGATGCAAGCTGAGCACATACATGTTGATTTAAAGGAGCCATTGCAGTGAGAACTTCATCCTCGGTCAAGTGCTCTGTTGGGGAACACCCCAGGAGTTTATACAGATTGGGTGGTGGTAGTGGATTAATTCAGCATGTGTAAATTTAAGAATAAATAAACCAAAAGGAGACATGCCAGCTTAATGATTCTATTCACACAGGCATGATACATTAAATAGTAATACAGAATACATTTTCTCACATCCCTGAATGCACAACAGCTGTCTGCTGTATCAAATATTTTTCCTTTAAGGAGTGGGTGGAAAGCAATTCATGAAGGCTGTGAAAACCGTGTATGAGTGTGATTATTTTCAGGGAGTTGTACTCACGTGATTTGGGTTTTATATTCCTCTTAATTTTTTTATGTCCTGTACGTAATTCCTCATTTTCATGGTCACGGTGAAGCATGCAGAAGAATGTTGCCATCGCCATCTGGCAGCTAGCAATTCCCTGATTGCTCTGGTTGGTTGCTGACCATATTGATGTTGGTAGATCAGCTGTCAGGGCAGTTACCATAAAGATTTACAGTTGCACTGTGTGTTCTGTCAGTGTCTGGAGTTCACTGATGACTTTGTGTGCATGGATTTACCTGCCTATTACTTGCACTTCTCCGTGACAGGTTGAAGACTTCTCTCAGGAAAGGGTATTTATCCACAAGACTGATAAATTCATTTATTCTGGTAGATCTCTGTACTATCCATCTGATCGGTTGCTCCCTACAAAGCGAAGACCTTTTATTTTTAAAGACGTGAAAGGTGTAACAGTTGCAGAGGGTATTTTAGCCTGGTGTGTAATGTACAAGGAAGGTGCTGCTGCTGTGTCATGGAAAAGTTGGAAGTTCTTAATTGTGTTTTTTTTTGTGTAATATGTTTGCTGCATTTGCACATGTACAAGGAAACAATCATATCTAGGAATTGCAGCAGGAATCAGACTGAAGTATTTTAATTGTTGCAAATTGGAAACTGTTGTACCTGTCTGAACCAGGTTTCAGACACTGATTTCTGCAAATCTTTTAAAATGTTTATAAAGCTTCTAGAGAGGTAAAGGCAGAGACTTTGTTTTGGCTTTTGGGAGGGAGGGGTGTTGTTTTGTTGTTGTTTTTTGTTTTTTTTTATTTGGCTTGATTTTGTTTGGATTTTTTTCTGCTTGAATGTTGACCACATTGGTTTCTGTTTCAGTTTCTGCGGATGACTATGACAGGATAAGGATGTGAAATGCATTTTTTTTTTCAAGCTCCTATCTTTACGGTGAACAGGAATAATTTATAATAATTTATAGGGAGTGGCAGAGCTGAAAGGATTCTAAGTAAGTAACACCTTGAGAAAGAGGTGGAGATTCTGAGAATAGGTGAAAGACAGTATAGACAAAGAATATTGTGCCTCAATGTTTTGGGTGTACATGTTAGTTCTAATCAGTGTTACATGAAAAGGAGTTAAAAACTGAATAGGTTAAAGATCCCAAGTCTCACCAGTGTGGCAGAATATTTTCAGTACCCAGGAAACATTAGGTTAAATCACTTTAGAATTTACTGTAATGGAGGATGTGATAGTTACTGATCTTTCACAGCAGTTTTATTCGAGCTACCTGCAGGAGTATGTTCTGAAATTTCTGAATGGGCCAACTCATTACAATTTTATCTCCCCAGAGCAAACTCCTTTAGGTCAGACTCCCAGTGTATTTCGGGCCAAAGCATACCTTCCCTGAGGCCTTGTGTACTTGCTAAGTTGTCTGGCATAACTTCTGGAAAGTTCATTTATGTTCTGATAATTTGTTATAGGTGCCTGGAAATGAAGTTCTTCTAAGAGGGCCAGCAGCCCGTGGAGGTGTAATGCAAAAGAACGGCTGCTACAAAGTCACTTTTGGTACTGAGCGTGTTTACTCAGCATCTGCACGAGAAAGTGACATGTCATTGTGGAGCAAATGGAACATCTTGTGGTATTTTGGGTAACTTTAAACCTTGTGCCATGAATTACGTGGATATGTCATCTTCCAGTCGAAGTTTCTAACTGCAAATAAAGGCCTTAAAGTGTGAACCTTAAAATCTGATGTCAGAAGGCAAATACAAGGTATTCTGTTTGAAATTGTTATAATTTTAATGCAATTACACATCAGCACAAATAATTGTTAGCATTATTGCTTCCACCTTCTTTACATTTACTCAGTTTTTTTGAGCAATGCTTATCAGCCTGGCAGCTGTGCTGGCACTGAGTGCCACTACTGGTTAAAAAGTAACGCTTCCAGAGAAACAATAACTTCACAGTATGTAAATAGCAGATCTTCCTTGTAACAAAAATATGTTAAAGAAAGTTCCTCATGAAATGATCTCTGTCACTGGGTACTTTCCTCTAAAGTGAAGTGTTATTTATACATCAAAGAGAAAAAGTACATACTTACATCCCTCAGGGGCACAGAGAATGGAAGTCATTGTGTTGATATTTTAATACAAATTGCTTCCTGAATTTCTAAGTGGCAAATATATGAATATTCATAAAATCACGAGGCCAAATGATCATCCAGCACTCGGCATATATGGGAGAAAAATGGAGGAAAGTCTCCAGTTTGTTTTTGCCTGGGGGTGGTTTGTTACCACGTTACCCTTCCTCCGGAAGATGTCACAGCCAGGGCTTGGGGTGGGAAGAGTTTATTTGGAAGGGATGGGTGTGTGGCTGGAGAGCCCTGTGTACAGCCTCCTGCCTTCCAGAGCTGGGGGACTGCCAAGCAGCATCCTGTAAGGGATGCGTGCTGCTCCACACAGCACGCCTTTCCTTGCCGTGCCTCCTGCCTCCCTGGAGCCTTTTAGTTTCTCCGGGATTTTAAGTACCCTTGTTTCATTGTCCTCTTGTTTTCTAAGTCCCCTTGCTCCAAAAGAATAACACGCCAGAAGCTGCATAGATTATTACTTTGTAATTCTCCCTTTCAGCGGGAGGGGTAGGTGGCCCTCGGTAGCCGGGGTCAGAGAAGAGCAGGCCCAGCCCCAGGTGGTGGCAAGTAGGTGCCACCTGGGGGCTCTGCAGGCTCGGGAGACGGTCGTGGAACGGAGCACGGGCATCGCACCGGCACCGCACCGCTCGGTGTCGGGGAGAGCCGCCCGCGCCGTAGGCCGGGACGCTGCTGTGCCGGAGTGGCTCAGGCACGAAATAAACTTCCCAGCAGGACAGGCTGGCAGTGCCGTTTGGTGAGGGGGAGACGGAGCACAAAAGAGTGATTTGTTTGTAGCAGTGGCAGGACCCAAATGAGGGCGCGGGTTCTTCACCCGCTGGTTCCCATTTCTGCACGGAAGCCGTGAGGCTGGTTCAGCTTTAGCATCACCTGTTTCAGAGAACTGCAGAGTTTGAGTGTGTGTTCTTGCACTAACAGCCATGTTCTTGTGCTTTGAAACGTTGTGGTTTTAATGGTATGTATTTAAGAGGAAGCTGCTAATGAATGCTTAAATATTTATGTAGTCTATACGCAGTTTTATTTTGCGCAGTAAGGCTGTATATTACTACATAAAAAAGTATTAAGGCGTATTTTAGGGGATGGGGAGTGCGATCATGTATTTTGGGGCACGTGCGTTGCCGGCAGTGCTGCATGTCGAGGTTTGCTGGCGGGTACGGTCGAGTTGGGGAGCGGTGGGGAGGGGTCCGTTCCCGTGCGCTGCATGTTATCTGCTAGCGGCCCGGGGGGGTCCTGCTTCTCCCCCGCTGCTGGGGAGTGCCGGGGCAGAGGCGGGACCCGGTGCAGCTCCCGGGGGCTCCCGCGGATCCCCGCCCGGCCCGGCGGGAGCGGCGCGGCGCCTTAAGGGTTAAGGCGGCGGTGGCGGCGCGGAGGGATACGGAGCCGGAGCCGCGAACGTGGTGCTGAGGCTCTGTAAGCAAAAAAATGTCCGCCTGAGGGAACCCACAAGTTCCTTCCAGCGGGGGGGGGAGCGCTCGGCTCGTCGCCTCCCACCCAGCCCGCGGCCCGCCCGCCGCCGCCGGCCCGGCCCTGCTCACCGGAGCGCGCGGGGGCAGCGGGTGAGTGCGGGCGGCCGCCAGAAGTTGGGAAGAGAGCGGCGGGGTGGGGGGGTGGGAGGGGGTAGGGAAGCGGCGGCCGGGGCGCTCGCAGGGGCAGAGGCGGCGGGCGAGGGGACGGGGCCGCGGGCGGGCGGGCGCGGGGCGGCGGCGGCGGGGAGGCCGCGAGGGCGCCGCTGAGGGACCCCGAGGGGCTGGTGGCGGGGCGGGCGTGCGGCGTGTGCGGGGCTCTCCGGGCCGCGGACCGGCGGGGCGGGAGCGGGTCCCCCGCGGGCGGCGCTCGGCGTCTCCCCCCGCGCTCATAAAGGCCCGGGCGTGCTCCGAAACTTGGCCGGGGCTGCGGGGCCCCCGCCGCTCCCCCGCCGGCACAAGGGAAGAGCGCGGGCCCCTCCCGCTCCCTCTCGCCCCCCCCGCTCCCGCCGCACGCGCATTCCACACGCACCCCCCCGCCCGGCGGCGCGCGCGCCCGGTCCCGCGTGCGCGCGTGCGGCGCGCGGGGGCGGCTCCCGGCCCGCCGCGGTCCCGAGCGCCGAGCGGCGGCCGCGGCCCCCGGGGAGGGGAGGACGGGCGGGGAGAGGGGGAGCCGGCACCGGCGGCGGGCGATAATGCCGGGGCGGAGATGGCTCTGCTGAGGCTCGTCCGGCCCCGCTCGTCAACCCCATTGTTGCGGGGACAGTGAGTCACTTAATCTCTCGCTAATTCTCCGGACCTCGCCGGGGCCGCGGCTGTTTGTTTGCTTTCGCTTGCCTGGGGGGGACCTAATTCCTGGCGGCGGCGGCGGCCTCGCTTTGCGGCGTGACCGTGGCACGGTAGAGGCTGGGAGAGAAGTGGAATGAAGGAGAAAAGGGAGCCTGAGGAAACTTGAGGAGAGTTGGTTAGTTCGGGGGAGCTGCCGATCCCGTCAGCCCGCCCGGCCGAGCGAGGCTCCCCCGGGAGCCCCCACCCCGTCCCGGGGGCGCAGGTACCGGAGGCCCCCGTTCGCCGCGGGCCGGTTCCCGCGGGGAAGTGCTGCCTGTGCCTCTCTCCTTGTGCCCTAGAAGGTGATCGGAGCAGCGGAGGAAGATGAATTCCCAGCAGCAGAGGATGGCCGCTATAGGAACTGACAAGGAACTGAGCGACTTGCTGGACTTCAGTGCGGTAGGATATTCTCCGAGGTCTTCTCATGACTTCTCCGTGGTCATGCGAAGTGAGGAGTAGGGGCAGCAGCGTGCAGGGCTTGGCTGGCTCTGCCTCAGCCAAGTTGGACACCTGAACTTTGATGTAATGTCTAGACTTCCAGATTTAATACGGTAATACCAGCTGGGTCAATTGGTTTAACTGGTTAAAATCAGGCTGACCCAGTGATGGCATAATCTAATAATTAACGTTTGTTAAGCTGGCGTGTGGCACTGGTACTTTAGCTCTTTTTTTTTTTTGTTAAACAAAAGAAAATTTATTGCCCACAAATAACAGAATTTATTCATTGATGGTTTTGGCTTAGAAAATTATAGATATTTTCTGTGTGATACTTTTAACAGATTTGCAAAAATGTTCTTGATTTATAAACACAATAGAAAACTACTGCTTCTTAGATGCTGTCTTTATCCAGTGACTTTATACTTGCAGATCAGTAAGAAACATAATTTGAGTAGCAAAATTTAAGACATATAACTATTTGAAATTGTCATATTACTAGTAGGTGTCCTTTTAATTTTTTAAGTTGTTCGTGTTCATGCAGAAGGGAGATTTTAGTGGTGTTGATAAATTGCAAGGACTACTTCACTTATTGGTTTTGTGGGTCTAAACTGCACCTTGCATTCTGTTTATTTTCAAGCAGAAATTAGAAAACAGAAATGGTTTCATATTAACCTTTCTTTCAGTTTACATTAATAATTCATCACAGACTTTCAAACCCGATTAAAATGCATATTTTTTTCCTGTTTTGCAGATGTTTTCCCCACCTGTTAATAGTGGAAAAACCAGACCAACTACACTAGGAAGCAGCCAGTTCAGTGGATCAGGTAGGATGCACCCGAGATACAAAATGTTCACCTCACTAGGGCTTGTTGTTTCAGCACAGTCTTCACGTGCTCAAAGTAATCTTTCATTTGTACATATTCTCACAAGATCCTCAGATCAGTTACAGATGTGTTGTTTTGATCTTAATAACGGATTTTGCCAACTTTAACCACAGTTTTCCTCCGTGTGTCTCAGACTGTTTGTCCCAGTGCAGCGAAGTGTTGAGTCTCTGTAGCCATACTGACATGGAAGTTGTCTGGTTGTTACATTAAAAATGAATGACTGTGTTGGTTTGGTTTGAGAAAATCAAACCTACCTGCTCAGCTGAAGTATTTTCTACCCCCCTGTGTGAAAGGAGAAAACACTGGAGTAAAATGCCAAATAATGGAATACTCCTGACTCAAGGACATTATATTTTAAAATGTATTTTTAAAGGCATCTGTTAAGGGAAATGTAAGTTTGATACAATTTTCTGGTACTGTGTAGTTATCAAAGACTTGACAAGTAGAATTCTCTGGTGTTGAAACTTTATCAGTCCCATCTGGAAAACAAGTAACAGTATTTACACCTTGCATGTGTTTTGTGGCTTCAATGTATTTTCATGAGTCCTCCCAATAGCTGTGTCAGAGACCTTTAAGATAAGGCTGTAAGAGGAAATAAGTGCAAATTTTAAAGATACTTTGTATCATTCCCTAAAGGGTATATTATTATTTATCAAAAGAGAAACTTAAGTAAGTTTTTGATTAAGTTACTTTTTATGTGGGCTCATCTTGTTTGAATACAGTGAAATGATATTTTTGTTTTTATGAAGACAACAAAGTGATGTTTGTATTTTAGATAATGAAAATAAATATTTAGAATGCCAGTAGAGAAGCAAAGTAGTGGCTTGAAATTGTGGGGTAACATCCCCTGCTTGCCTCTTACATTGTCATAGCTGTTACTTGGAGAGTCCAATTGGCACTCTGCTTTTTAGTGACGCTTCAGAATTTTTGTTTTTAAAAGCATCTTAATTGTGTAATTTTTCAAACTTTTCGGAGACTACCTGCCACAT